AGAGAGAGAGAGAGCAGAGGATGAGAGAGAGTCATGGTAGGGGCTGTAGTATGGACCGCCAAGATTCTACTGAATCCTACGCTTTCAGTATGGAGACATAGTTTTATAAACATAGCAGAGAGACGAGTTTAGGAGCGGGACCTACTTTAGGGGGGGGATGATGTATCTCACGTGCAAGGACGATGTTAGAAGAGACAAGATGGACAGAAAGCATAAGAATAGAAGAAAAAAGACTGATGAGAGTTACGGTGCTAAAGCTTCCAGACATATTTCAACACAAATTCCTTCTCTGTCCATGAATAGGAAGAGCCTATTTCATGATATTAGTTCATAGGCCCATGCTCAAAATTTCCCTATTAACTGATCACTCTATCATTTTCATCCTACAAGTAATGGATGGTTAAATAGTCGCCAATCATTGTAGACAGCCTTTCCTTTCATAAGCCTCATGTGACATGAAATGTAACCATATCATAGTGTCATATGCCATGCAAAACCAAAAATCATCATTTAATCACAACCTGTCTCTTTCTGCTTCATTTTTTTTCTTTCTTTTTAATGCCCTACTTGTTCATTTTCTTCATTATACAGAATAACCATGTAGATTCTCAGGAAAATCTAATCAAGATAAGAGATCATTTGAATATGTGAAAAGTAAATATTTTCATTTCAGATACTCATTCAAAGTCTTAAATAGATATCTTTCATGTTTTATCTTTCATGACATCTTTCACATTGACATACCAGGTATTTATGAATAAGTATAAGTATTACCAACTTACTTGAACCTCTAATAGTACTCTAAGAGTGTCACTAATTTTCTTCCTCTTCTCTTCTTCTTTCTCATTTCTCACATAAGCCGAAAGTCCTGACAAGTTGTTCTCTTCCTCATGATCGAGAATGAGTAACAAATGCCATCAATATCACACAAGCAAAAGCAGTTTGGCATTCCTTTACCCATGGATTTCATGGCCAAACTTCACTTGCAGGTTACCACAATATCGAATGTTCCACTTGAACTCGACTTTAACTCATTCAGCACCTCCTTCGTAGCAAAACTCTGCTGAAAATAGGCCATATACTGTGGGGGGCATAGGGTCCCCATGGCTACCACGCCTTCTCAGGGTTTGAGCCCTTGGACATTTCAGCGTTGGGAGGAGCAATAACTCCTCTGTGTGCCTTTAACACACTGCCTGTATTTTTCTATAGACTTTGGATGCATTCTTGAAGGATTTGACATGTGCCATTTTTTTGCCCAGTTAGGTGGATCCCCTTGAGAGACGTGCCCATTTCTGGACGACATCTCTGAAATGCATTTCAAGATATATCTTCCGAGAGGAAACAGGCATTTAAAAAACTAAGAAAAACTGTAGAGAAAACCGTCTAATAATGAAGCAAAGTTTCACATTATGCTCTTCTACACTAACCACAGAAAATCACTTACCATATCATGCATGCTACATCTCCCACAAATGATCTACTGAGTAACAAATTCACCAAGAGAAGTACAAACGGAATTACTCAACACCACTACGTATCTCCACACAAAGCACTCACCTTTGAAAAATGTCAGCCTGCCTCCGGCATTCCCAGCAGAGGCCCCAGCGACAGCCTTGCCTGACGCAGACTCATCACCTCCCTCGCTGGGTCTTGGCGGAACCCCCTTGACACTGCCACTGGGGATGGCCGTCCCGGGCTTGCCCTTCACCTCAGCCCCGGGGCCTGTGGCTGGGGGTGACACCAGTGGACGTGGCGAAGGGGCGTGGCTGCTAATCAGGGGAATGGGGCTCTCACACTTGATCTGTGTCTGCAAGGGCGGCGTGGGAGCTCTCCTGGGGGGTGAGGGCGCTGGAGAGTGGGGAGAGGGCGGCCTCTTGTCCCCCACCACGCCCAGCCCTCCCCCCTCCAGCCCGGCCTTGCTCATCCTCACACACACATCCGTGCTCGATAACTCCGTCTTGTTCTTCATGGTCAGCTCGGCCTCTACATGATCTCCGACATTACCTGCCTACCCTCGACGTCGCGGATGCTGGGCGCTTCTCCCTCAGTTCCGATTCCACTCGCCCGCATTCTTCTCACAATTAACACTCGCGCACTCCATCCTCCCCCTCGGTCTCTTGATCAAAACGTTAACGTGTATATCAGGTACGTGGTCATCATAAAATCTACAGATAATAATAACGCTTTCTATTAATTTTCACGTAATATGTCTCTCAGTCAACACTAAACTTTCGGTCAAAACATTTCTTTCATATTTTGTTCCGTTTCGCATCCCTTTGTACAAAGCCGCAGGGAAGCTTGCCAAGTTTAGGCGCAAGATAATGTCTTTTCCGTCTCTGATATCGTTTTATTGGAAATAAAACTGGAATTTAGTAACCTTATGTTCGTCAGGAAAAGCTAGGGCAAAGCCAAGGAACTTTTCACACTTTATGCACTGATAATTTTTCTAGTTCAGCAGCATAACATCATCATGAAATACAGACAAACGCAAACGCTTACAAATATTGTGTTTACAGGAAAATAGGACTGTGTGCATGAACATCCTATCAAATATGACATATATCATAAAATTGTTGATTATATTTGTATATCTTGTCAAATATCTAAACCGACGAGCAAAATTATACCTCAAACAAAAATATGTTATAGAGATGCGATTGCAATATATGTAATACCTATCAATATTCCAAAGGGAATTTCTCTTTTTATTCTACATCATGCACCACTGCGAAGAAGACAGCCTCAAAGAAATCACAAAAGATCCACCCGAGAAGGTTTGTCATCGTTTCGTTTTATACACCGTTCCATTCCGTTCCTCCGTCCAGCATTCCGGAGTTCCTGACCAGGAGAACAGAGCGGCAGTAAACACCATGGCGGAAGGACGCGTGAGAAGAGTAATCCCCGAAGACCTCTCCAATGTCGAGTTCGAGACCAGCGAAGAGGTGGAGGTCGTCCCAACCTTCGACAACATGGGACTGAGAGAGGACCTCCTTCGTGGAATATACGCCTACGGTAAATAAGAGCGAGGTTGGGGTTTTGATGTGAAGTGTCATGACGCAAATCGGGAGGTCGGGCGGCGTGATGATGTTTACTTTCTCGTGGGCGAATTTTCTCTTGCATTCCGTGTACTGTGTCTTGACAGGAGAGTGAAGAGCTACGTTGTGATAGCCGCGGTTGTGATGCACTAACACCACCGTAGTTTTGAATATAGGCGTTAGAGTATTAGCGTTAGAAAAGGTGTCTGGATGCGATTCTTCGGGAAAAGTGAAAACGCCGATTCGTGAAGCCAATTGATAAAAGAGGAAGTTAATTGAAACCATAACTTTGAGGAAATGTGCATTTATCCACCATTAAAGCAACCTTTGAAGTGTACGAATAGGACAGTATCATTCTGAACTATAATTGATACACATCTTACTGTACTGGGAAAGCTGTTTTGTGAATCTCAAGCATATTTGTATCTACTCAACCCCATGTAGTTTTTACTCCAGTTTAACTGTCTCCTTCTGTAGAAATAGGTTTGAAGTTTGCATGCAATTCTAGATGTCTGCCGCTCAAGGAATTTAGACTTTGCCTGGTGGGAGGGGGATCATTAGCTCAGGTATCAGTTATCTGTGCTATGGCGGCACATATAATCTCCTCGTTATATTTCTATCAGGTGACTGCTAGTGATGTTGACTAACAAAATTAGTTAGTAAAAACAATAGATAAGCACAATATTAATAACTTAAAACTCGTATTATTTGCTTAACAGCTCAGCACCTGGCAAGCAGGAAAAGGTCTTTTATCTTGTATAGCCCCCTACCTTAACGGAGTTGTAAAGGCTTGTCTGGGACCTTTGTTGCTGGTCAGATAGAGATTTTGCATTCTAGGTAGAAGATTAAGGGGTGGTATGCAGAAGGCTACCGAGTTAATTGAGTTGGAGATTTTTATAGCTGAAGAGTCTTGTCACATAGAGCTAGATGTTGCATATTTTTATGGTATCTGATTACGCTCTTTGTCTATGATCCGTTTAACTGAGTAGGGAGAATATCGCGAGAGTCGATGTGGACAGTGATATTAATGATTTATATTGATGCGCGTATATTTATTGTCATTAGAACAGCCTAATTGTTTAACAAATATCGTATACTCTTCACATATCAATGCATGCTTCATTAGCGTGAGTGTCTAATCAAATCGTATTATTTTCAAGGTGCGTTGCAACAATGCATGACTAGCATCATATCCATGCAAAATCCATTTTGTTAATTGTATAAAGGAGGAAAAGATAGATATACTATTGACACCATGAAGGTAAAAACATATGACGAGACAACGGATGAGGGATAGCACTGCGATACGAAACTACTCTGAAAGATATCAACCGAAGTGTGTTTACTATGCTACAGCGTTAATTAGAAACATTCAGAAAGTATATACTATATATAATAATGAGTATAGTTAGATCTTAAGAAGCTAGGAACTAGTTATCAGTGTAGCACCATGATTAAAAATTAACAATAATATAATGTAATTAGATGTGGAATTATTTACATAGATCAGACCATGAGTTATATTAGATACCTTTCAGATATTAGTAATATATCACTATAAGGATAGATAGATAGATATATATGTGTGTTTCTAGGATAGTCGTTGTAGATGTGAAACGTGTTTGTGGCTTGTTGATGTCGAATGTGCAAATAGATGTTATGTTTTCTGTTCTAAATATCCTCCGGATAGGATTACTTGATCATAGGATATTGTTTATATATATATGGCGGTAAAAAATAGGTTTCTATTATGAGTATTTGACTTGGAGAAAAATTTATTAAGTTATTTGTGGATGTTATATTTTACAGAGAATCAATAGTACTCCCAATTTATAAATGAGCAACCAATAAACAGTGTTATAATAGGATATTGCAGATGTTACAGTAATTTGGGAGTGGTATCATATGTTATTACTTATCAGAATGTATCTATAATATTGGATACCCTTTTTAATTGAAGATCTATTTATTTTGATAAGAAGAATTGATTGTATAATAATATATATATATATATATAGAGAGAGATTATTATTATAAATTTAAAGGAGCTCTCTAATAATAGATATATTTGTTAAGAATTTTTATCAAGGTGTTCATATGTCAGTTTACACAAAAATCAAACTCCCAGCTTATCATGTTTATTGATTTACAAAACAAATATCGTAAGTTGACCACAATTATATGCCTGCAAATGTGTTAAAGAGATATGAGCAAGGAAATAATTATCTTATCTCAAGATTATTATTGCTATATCAGAGGCTATCAAGGTCCTCTGTAAAATAAGAGAGAAGAGAATATTGATCGTATTCTTCACTCATTTAAAATTAGTAACTTTAGTCGAGTGTACCATTTTACAAGAGCTACAGACCAAGTACAAGACTCTATCGGCCTGAATAAGCTTCATTATTAATAGATAGAGAATTATTTTAAACTAACTCTGTTGCATATCAATGCATATTAAATTGTTTGATAATTGATCATGTTAGTGTATTAATTATTAAAATTGTGTTTTAGGTTTTATATTCATACAGATTTAAATTAAAACCGCAAGTAGTATAGATTGATTTTAGATACGTGATGATCATTTAATAATGAGTAATTATAAAATTAAAAGACTGTTCATTATGGAGATTTATTGTTATTGGCGTTAAGGAAATCCACACAGTAATATATAAATATATTATATATAGATTATTTAATACCATACCTTCATCACCGTCCGTTGCGGATTTAAGAATATCAACGAATACACTTGTGTTAATGAGATTACAGTAAAAGAATGTATTTTTAGCTATTGTGCAGTATTCGATTCCCATTCATTTTCGCTTGTCGATTCTTCCATCCTTTGGTTGTATTGGGGTTTATTAGTGATGAGGTGGTACGTAATGGCCTACCTCTATCTTTCACTGAACTCCGGTTGCCCACTTCTTCCACCTTTACGCTTATACCAGACCCCGAACTCTTTCGTGTAAATGACTTACTGGCATGAGTTTCAGGTTGCTCGGTGATCTACAGGTCAGTTTTGATAGGATAGCAAGTTGTTTTCGGTTTGGTTTCGGTTAGGCTCGGGGACAGAAGATGAATTGTTTAATTAATTAAATCTAAGTAACCTAAATTTAACTATTAGATTTAAGTTGGAAGTAATATAAATTATTTATTAATACACAAAACGTACTTGAATTACCAGCACTCGCCAAAGACGTCAGAAAAGTCGAAAATTGAACCAGCATTCCTTATCTCAGAACAGTGGGTCCTTTTGTAATAGCAAGAACATATACAGTCCAGCACAGTTTAATAATTTTTGTAACCTTATTTAACACCTGTTAAGTGATTTGAGTGAGTTGTAGATTTTATATCCAATTGAAGTGGATACTGTTGATAATGTCTAAATTTATACCGTCATACATCTTTGCTGATTGAATGATTGCGAATCATTGTTTATGTCAAATTTTCCTTGGGTTTGTTGCTGGTCATATAAACATACCTACTGACTACCTAACAGTAAATGCATAAGAATATAACAACATAAAGGGTCTAAAAGTGTAACGCAGGATGTGTATAATCTATCAAGTGGGTCAGTTAATATAATATATTTCTAAAAGAAGGACTGCATATTGTTTAAACTTTCCAATAGCCAACACAGTTTTATGTATCATGTCCATTTGAGAGGCTGTTTTCTAGCCTGTCTGTTGGGGGTTTAGGGTTTGTCCAACATCATATCTCTCCTACTCTTCTTATCTTTCCGCTTCTTGCTTGTTTCCTTCATATTTACTTCTGCTAGTTCTTTTCGTTATATTTCCTCCTCTCCCCTCACCTCCCTCCCTTCCTACTCTAAGCCCCCTCTCTTCCTCCCCTCCACCTATATAACTATACTACAAACTAGTACACCATGTACATATTTATATTGTGTGTGTGTGTGTTCGGTATTAATAATATTATATAATTATTTAATATATAGTATAACTACTATAATATTATATCACACTCTATCAATATTTAAAATACTCAACTAAATAATTATAATATATATAATATATACTACACTTCCCCCCTCATCCCCCCCCTTTCCCCTCTCCTCTCAATCTCTGCTTCATCTCTTATCTCTCTCTCTCATCTCTCTCTCTCATGCTATCTGTTCTCTCATTCCTCTCTCCTCGTGTATCCTCTGATCATCTCCCATTCTCCATCTCTGTCTCTTCTCTCTTCATCTTCCCCATCCTCCTCCCTCCCTCTCTTCTCATCTCTCCCCCCTCCTATCACCCTCCCTCCCTCTCGCCTCCCTCCTCCTCTACTCTCCTCCCCCAATCCCTCTCTCTCCCATCCCCTCTTCTTTGCTTCCCTATCCTCTCCTCCTCTCTCTCCTTCCTCTTTCTCCATCC